TTATTATTCTGGAAACTGAAAACAAAACAAACCAGAACATCCTGCTTTTCATGAAGGATTGCATTTCAATGTAGTGAACAAACACTTTTTTCAAATTTTTATTTTTTCTATTTTTTTATTTAAATTAGAAACAAGATATGGGCTCCCAAAGTCCAAACCTATGCTAGGGATAAGTATTGATCTACTCCCAGAGGCCCCATAGATTGCTGAGGCCTCTTCACTGACACCCATGTTCACGGGGTCTGGATCAGTCCTATGCTGGTTTCCCAGCTATCAGTATGGGGTCCATGAGCATCCCCTTGTTCAGGTCAGCTGTTTCTGTGAGTTTCACCAGCCTGGTCTTGACCCCTTTGCTCATTACTCCTCTCTCTCCGCAATCTCATTATCAGGGGAGGGCATTTAAAGTAGCCTCTCCACTATTGCTTAGATTGTAGGTTGGTGTCATCCTTGTAGATCTCTGGACATTTCCCTAGAGCTAGATTTCTCTTTAAACCTATAATGGCTCCCTCTATAATGGTATCTTTTTATCTTGCTGTCCTCTATTCTTCCCCTGGCTCAACCTTTCTGCACCCTCATGTCCTCCCCTCCCCTCCTCTTCTCCTCTTCTCTTTTTCCTAGCTCCTTCTCCCCTCCCCCATGCTTCCAATTAGCTCAGGAGATCTTGTCCCTTTCTCCTTCTCTGGGGGACCATGTATGTCTCTCTTAGGGTCCTCCTTGTTTCCTAGCTTCTCTGGTGGTATGGATTGTAGGCTGGTAATCCTTTGCTCTATGTCTAAAATCCATATATGAGTGAGTACATACCATGTTTGTCTTTTTGTGACTGGGTTGCCTCACTCAGGATGGTTTCTTCTAGTTCCATCCATTTGCCTGCAAATTTCAAGATTCCATTGTTTTTCTTTTTTCTGCTGAGTAGTACTCCATTGTGTAAATGTACCACAATTTTCTCTATCCATTCTTCAGTTGAGGGGCTTTTAGGTTGTTCCGGTTCTGGCTATTACAAATAAAACTGCTATGAACACTCCTCCACTGCTGGTGGGAGTGCTAACTTGTACAGCCACTTTGGAAATCAGTATGGAGATTCCTCAGGAAAATGGGAATCAGTCTATCACAAATCCAGCAGTTTCACTTATGCA